TCATGAGCAGATTCGAAATGGAAACCAAAGGAAAGTCGAAGTATTTTCCTAGGATTTGGCTAAGGTATGTGGATGATATTTTTGCGATATTCGATACCAATAAATCGAATATTGAGGACTTTGTATGCATTTAAAATAATAGATGTCCATCAATAAAATTCACGTATGAGTTAGAAAATAAGAGACAACTACGATTTCTTGACGTTTTGGTGATGAGGAGCCAATATGGAGGGTTAGAATACGATATATTTAGAAAAGAAACAAGCACGTACAGGTATATTCCAGACAGTTCACATCACTGTGGACAGCACAAACCTGCTGGGTAGAATTTTTTTGTTCATCGTCTTTTAACTTTCCCTCTAACACATGATAGGTTCACAAAAATAAGACGTACAATACAGGACATAGCCACTAACGGTTTCACGGGGGGTATTGTAGATGACATAATAAGGAAGAAGAAGTTTAGGTTAAGAATGAACGAAATCTCGACTTTCAAAATGGAAGAAGGTGGTTTTTAAAACAAGTCATACACTACAGAGTCTTTTGGGAAGTCCAGAAGACAAAGTCGAGAATTCGGAAAAGTCCGGAATTTACGAAATGCAAAATATTATGGATAGACAAAAAGATCTATTAAAGTGAGATATAAGGAACACATAGCACACTTGAAATATGGAAAACCTGAAAAATCAGCAGTCGCACATCATGTTTTACAAGAAAACCATTCCATAGAATTCAGTTCATTAAAGTTAGACAAGTTAAGAACAACAGGCAACTAGATGCCTATGAAGAGCGATTCTGAGTGACATAATTGATGTCTTGAGTGGAAGATGAATTTCCATTAAGAAATTGATGGTCGCTCGTGCTAACGCAGGGTTCGCTTTCTGGGCCAGTTTTGCCAATGCATGAGTGTTTTTATTTTTGGAAAATAAAGGGCCTTCCAACAGGGACTTTGGCAATTGGTAACAGCCATCTTGTTGCAACTACCTACATTACAGGCAACTGTTACAATTACTTACTTAGATACATCGCTTATTCTAATTTTCTTAGCTGATGTAGACTTAAATACGTTGCGTTACTCCCTTCTGTTATCAATCATCAACGTTTTTTTCTGAAATACTTAAATTATAAATGCAGTGCCAATTTAGTTGGTATAAACACGTTTGGGAAGATGCCTTCTACCTTTGCAGAGTTTCTGAACCTCCCGGAACCACAGGAATATACAGGTCACTGTTTTAGGAGGTATTCTGTTTCTTTGCTAGCAGACTCAGTAGCAAGTATAAGGGATATTAAGAAGCACGCAGGATAGAAGTCTACAACAATAGCTGAGGGCTATATCGATCAATCTAACGCTATATCCCGCGTTACAGCATCGTTCCCTTCATTTCAAGAAATAAATGTTGATGCCCTTGAAATTGTCAACTCAGCTCTGTTCAATATATATATTGAAACCATACACATTCCTAGAGAAGATCTAACACTAAGGAGAGTACCTGATGCAGAACAAATACAGGCAAATTTACCTAAAGTACCTGTAATACCTGAGTTAAGACGCTCTAACCGTATAAAGAGGCAGACAACGGGATGACCAGTTCAGTTTGAAGGGTGCCTAGAAGATGACAGTACTACCAACTGTCGAAAGCGCTCGCAGATAATTTATAGAAATGGAATGGAAATATTGTGCTTTAACATGGAACGCCATCACTTACCATTGGCTGAGATGAATAGAGCTGTAGGGCTTCTTCAAGGTGGCATGCGACAAAATGATGTAGCTCTTCGTTTG